AAAAAAAAAAATTATTCTAAAGGTTTCCAGATCTCCAGGTTCTAAATTAAGGTCAGAGGCAAAACCAGACCACTTCACGACTACAGAGGAAGCTAAAGAGTAGGAAATGGCAGCTTTCACATCCTGTACTAATCCTCTAAGTCCTTAGGAAATCCTCGGTCTCCAGCACGCTCATAAGGCAGAAACAAAGCCTTAATTTCTGCGCTGCTGGAATAATGACAACAGCTCCTCAGATTTACTTTTAATAGGAAGACACAAAAAGTGAAAATTGCGAAGAAAAAATGATCAAAATCTAAGACTACGCCTTAAGGATAATTTGTTAGTTTTTGGTATTTCCTGGGAAGAAACTCCGGAAACAGTGTCTTTAAATAGCCCTAAACAGGAAGCCACAGTTTTGAAGCTGGGAGCTATTTAGAGTGGAGAAGGTCACCCTACAGGCTGTCCTATTTTGCAGTTTTATCCCCTGCTTACAAGATAAGGAGCTGGCGCTGTGGCGCATTCCCCAGGAGGCTGAGGCAGGAGGTGAGTTCGAGGCCAGACTGGGTTACACAGAGACACTTGAATCAAAGAAAAGGAAAAAATACTATCCCCCAACACACACAGAAGAAGAAGAAGAAGAAGAAGAGGAGGAGGAGGAGGAGGAGGAGGAGGAGGAGGAGGAGGAGGAGGAAAAAACAGCAAAGAAGAAAATGTTTGCAGAGATTTTGGAAGGTTTTCTTTGGTTTATTTATTGGTTGTGTTTTGTTTTGTTTTTGAGATAAAGTCTACTGAAGCCCAAACTGGCCTTGAACTTCTCATAGCTGTGCCACTGCATCCAGTAAAAACAGGACTTTTCACTCACACCAAAAATGCATATAGATGACACTCCTCTGAGTATCTGAAATTGTTTTTTAACTTTTCTTTGGTGTGTTACTCATGTGAGCTCTGTAACTAAGATTTCTCTCTCCACAAAGACTCCAATAGCCATACATCTAAAACCCGTGTCCTGTTTTGCCTAAAGGATCTAGGCTCCTTTAAAAGCACGTGAGCCACACCCCAACCCCACCCCAGTCCTCTGCTAGCACAGCGCCAGTCACGTGTGATATGTATGAAGGAGTGATGCCTCTGAGTGGGTGCACTTGCAATATGAAGCTTCCACTGAAGAGTAATAACACCAAGGTGTGTGAAAGCTTTTCTGCTACTTTAAGTCGGTTGACTCCCCCTACATATAAAAAGAATTGTGCAGAGGCAGGC